AGCCTGTGCCCCACACACATTCCGGATCCGGGAGGATGCAGGGCCCCACACCCTGCTGGGCTCTGTGGTGGGCACGGACAAGGATTACCCACACAACAGCATTGAGTACGACATCTCTGGTGGGCCCACCGCCTTCTCTGTGGACCGTCTCAGCGGTACTCCCACCCCAGGGCTGGGATGGAAGGGTGGAACCAGAGTTGACTGCAAGCTGAGGCTGTGGGCACCTCTTCTAGGGGAAATTCACCTCCTGGGATCTTTGGACTATGAGCTGCAGACATTGTACAGGCTCACAGTCCTAGTGACTGACCAGAGCCAAGACCAGGACCCCACCCACCGCCGCTCTGGCTCCTGCACCATTACCATTGAGGTTGAGGTAATTGAGCCCCGAGGCCTTGGAAAAACTTGGAAAGTGTTCAGATCTTCCTCTGGCATTCTACTTTTCTACACTGGGCTTAAGTTTCCTCCATTGGTTGGCTGGAGGGAAGTGGTGCCTCATAATGGAAACCTTTGGAACCTATTTTCTGACTTCTAGGCTCTGGCTGTACCTGGGGGAGACTGAGGGGCTGGCCTGGGGAATTTGGGGTGACCGGGCTACCCTCCTGCAGGATGTGAACGACCATGCCCCCGAGTGTCAGCCCCCATTTCAGGAACTCACCATCTACGCTCCCCTGGGCCGTAGTGTGGAGGTGACCAAGGTGTCCTGTTGGGTTCCTCAGGAGCCACAGCGTCTGGTCTTTTCCTACAGCATCGTGGGAGGTGAGGGCCATGGGGACCTCCAGGCTGTTGGGGAAGGAGCAGGCCAAGGCCAGCAATGGTCCCCTTTGTCTGCCACTCTCCTTTCAGGGAATAGTCAGAGCCGATTCAGCCTGCAAGGACCCATCCTGGTGCACAACAACATGTTGGGGCCCCCCTGGCCAGAGCAGCCCCATACTCATGAGCTATTGATCCGGGTGGCTGATGCAGGTCCCTCCATTCCCCACCTCAGCACCACAGCCACTGTCATTGTGCATCTCGTTCCTTGGAGCACCAGCACAGTGGCCACCCGCACCCGCAGAGCTGCAGTGAGGGGGGGCCCTTGGGACCTTGGGAGGTGGGGATAGAGGATCTTGAAGGGGGAGGAGACCCCGTTTTCCAGGTGAAACAATGGGGGAAGGCACTCCAGAGGGAGCCATTGAGTGTTAAGAGCCTAGCAATTTGGAAGAGCGACTCTGGGGTGTGTGGTGGCCCAACTCTTGGAGGGGTCTGAAGGCTGGATGATCAGGACATTTTGGCGGGGCTGTGGCCCCCATTTCAGGTGCCTTCAATGATGACACCCCTGCTTGTGACAGACACGGAGGCTTTCTGGCAGCCAGAACCCTGGTTTGTGGTGGTGCTGACTGTGACCAGTGCCCTCTTTCTCTTGGCTCTGGGCTGGCTCTTCAGCAGGCTCTTCCAGGGGTAAGGTTCCTATCCCTCTGCTCTCTGCCTCACCCCAACCCACTAATGGACTCCATTTGTGATAGATGGTTTCACCAAGATTTGATGACAATGCCCAAGTTGATGTGCAGACAAACTGATATTAATGGGAGCTGCTCTCCCTCCAGAGGTCCTCAGGTCAGAGGTGGAGATGCACTGGGAGCAAGTTGTCGCCCTTATTGGCAAAGCCGGGTCTTGGAGTGGGGTGCGTGTGGATGACACCCAGTGCTTGAGACTCAGAGTTTGCAGGCATTGGGCATTTATCCCTATTTCTGACCCCCTACCCTCCGCTTCAAACCTGATCTGCCCCTACAAATGAGGTTTTTTTGTGGGCACAGGACTGAATCCAGGGGAAGGTGGGGGTAACAATGTGGGCATTGCATACAGACATTGGCTATCCCCAGTATAAAGGAGCAGATAAATGGTGCTGGTTCCTGGAGCCAGCAGGTCTGCTGCCCTCACTGATTGGTCCCTGCTCCTGGCATTTTAGGTTGGCCCAGATGCTACAGACACCAAGAAAACCAGCCCAGGCTCTGCTACTAAACAGGTCAGCCTCCTTTGCAAACCTCTATGCCTAAGAGTCCATCCCTTAAACTGAGGCTGGGACCAAGAGCCTTTTCCTTTATTCCTACTCTTACTTTGCCCTAGTATCCAGGGAACTGAGGAGTCCATTGAGGGGTTCATGGAGGCACCGAGGATGGAGATGCCCCAGACACCTAGCAGTGTCATGAGCCTGGTATGCCAACCTGCCCTCCTGTATCGTGGGCACTGAGGCTGTTCTAGAGTACTCCCCTGTCAAGCCTGCCTCCTTGTGGATGGCTACCCCTGTGGTAGAGCCCATGGCAGCACCATCAGGATGGAGGAAACAGGTGGGCCCCTGACCCCTTTGGGAGCAGACCTCCAGCTGCTCCCTGGGGGCAGGGCTCAACTCATTGCATCCTCTCATTCCTCCCATCAGCAGCTCTTTGATGGCAGAGCACAGGACTCCCGTGAGTCCCCCTCTTCCCAAACCACTCTCCACCTGGGTCCGCTTTCTCTCTTCAGCCCATCTCAGCATCTCCTTTCACCACCAGGCAACCACTATTTACTCTTTCCCTGAATGGGGTCTGTTCTCACCCCCATTCGCATTTCAGCCAACATTTCTCAAACACCTGTTGGACCAGAAGGTGACTCAGACCTGGTCTGGCTCCTGCCTATGGCAGAAACGGTGGTGAGGGAAGAGGCCCTCAGATATTACACTGTCATCAGTGATTTATGGCAGAGTGATCTGGCACTGGGCTTAGGGGGGCTGGTGTCCAGTTTGTGGGGATCAAGGATGCTTCCCTGTGCATTTGAGCCAGCCTTCCCAGGATTGCTGAGAAAGGAGGGAGGGGACAGGTTGGATCAAGGAGAAGGAGGGTCTCACCAAGGGTTCTGGAATGTCTTCCCCTACCTTTAAGGGAAAGAGGCTGTTCTGCTGAGGCCAGCAGTGCCCTCTCTCCCTCCTGTTCATCCGAGCTTAGGTACAGGCAGAGATTACCTGTTCAACACGCTCACAGGAGCCCGGCGCTGGCTCTGAGGCCAAGAAGCGGCTTCACTATGCGTGGAATTTCTTTTTCCCATGATCACGGGCTGAGTCTTCAAGTTGATTCAACAATAAACAAAATTACAAACAGAAGAGTCCCAGCCTTGAAACCCACCTGTGGGAGAAGCTCTGGGATCTGTGCTTCCTTGTTCTCATTTGGAGAGGGCCTTGCCGCCGGGAACACTCTAGGGAGTAGTAGGATTATTTTTCTTTTGAGAAGGCATTGTATGATGCTCTGCCTGACCGTGATTAACGCCGAGATAGGAGGCTGTTATCCTTGCTAGGGACATAGGAGGCCTCCAATCAGCTCGTCCCTTCAGAGACCACCTGCTCTAGCGGATGGGGAGGGCCGGGGAGCTTCCATTTCCCACTGAACAGAGGATATTGTTGCTGCTTGAGGGCCCTTACCAACCTCCAGTGCCATTTGCAGACTGTGTGTGGAGGTTTTCTTGGGTAGGACCTGGAACTTTTTCACTGAGGTGAGAGTTGGTGCAGACTTGAGAACCCTGTGGCAAGGATGGCCATGGAGGGATTGATGGTAGCCCTCTTCTGACAGGATATTCCCACTTATTCCTGATCTGTTTCTTCTGGTTTCTTGGCCCTCAGCCATCCCAATGCTGAGCTGAGCTGAGACATTGCACATAGCCAGGTGGCCTACAATAACCTGCAGGAGTGCAGGTTCTATTGGATGCAGTGCTAGCTCACTCCCCTTGCCGGGCCTGGATTCAGGTCTCAGGTTACTGCCAGCTCTCCAAGAGGATCTGCTCTCTGGGTAGAGGCTACCTTTACTGAGATAGCCCTAAGTTCTTTCAATATTCTCCCCTCTGCCAAGTCTGTGAACCTGAACCCTCTCAGGGCAATGGAGGACCTCCCTTCCTAAGCCAGTTATGCTGTCCCAGGTCGGGGAAGAAGCTGAGTGCCTTCTGTAGGAAAAACATGCTTCATGGTGCTCCCCCGAAAGTGAGGGTGTTAAAGCTGGCCCAGTGGCAGCGACCTGATAGCAGGCTGTTACTGGAAGTGGTTACAGGCAGAATTTCCTGAGCACTCACCCTGGTCTAAGGGCTCATTTGTTATCCTCATTTTATAAACAGGGCAACTGAGGCTCAAGAGTCACATAACTAGCTAGTTCTGGCACTTGATGTGGTTCCAGGCTGTGTGATTGCATTTGAGCTCCTAATCCTGAAGCCAAGCCGAGTTAGGTGCTCTGTACCAGGAACAAGGGATAACCATTTTCCTAGTACTCACAGTCAGCCTCTGAGATAGATCATGCCAGTCCAGGGCAAAAGCTGTGTCAGGCACTCAAGACAAGATGCTCTAGGGCAAGAAGAGGAGTTTCTGTTGTGTACCAGGGCTTGTGCTGGGCACTGAACTCAAGGCAGAAGGACAAACGTGGGCAATGCGCCAGCCAGGGACTGCTTCGGGTTAGCACACATGGCTGCACCTCGCCACTGATGAGAGGCAAAGCTGGTGAAGCCGTTGGGAAGTGGGTATTATGCATTGAAATCAGTAGGAGGAGGTATGAGATACGGTGCCTCCATTTCCAGAGGTGGCGTGACCTTGGCCAGGCCTCCCCCTCTGCGCCTCAGTTTCCTCACCAGTGAACGTAGACAACAAGCCTTCCCTTCCAGGGTGTGGCAAAAAAAGCATATAGCACCCAGCACGCATTCGCTAAGTGTGCGCGCGTGTGTGAGAAGACGCTGTCGGCTTCGCAAAAAGGCTGCACACGCGAAAACGCCAAGGGCGGTATAGCCTCAGAGTCGCCAGCATAAGCTCTGCCGCCAGCAACTCTGGGAACGGCGCGCATGCGCCAGCCCTCGCCGTCACAGTCACGTCCCAAGGCGTTCGGCAAGGGCCGTGAGAGGCAGGCTCTGAGTGACAGGCCGGCCGACCTGTCAGCGAGAAGAACTCCCTTAAGCGTGGGACGAAGACGCTGTTGATTGGAGACATCCTCAGCTGGGGCGGGTTCTTCGCCGTCCTGGTTACTATGACGCCCGGCCCCCGCCCCCTCGGCTGGCCGCCATCTTGTTGTTGATCCGTACCCAGTGGGCAGCGCCGGGAGCTGGACCGAGCGGCCGGTGTGGGGCCGCTGTTGCGGGGCTCATCCACCTGCGCTGCCTGCCGGGGGCGGGCCGAACCTGGAGGCCCGGGGGGCCCAGCTCCCGTGGGGAGCCGTGGGCGCCCGCTGCCCGGGCCGGGCCGGTGAGTGACAGGAGCCGGGCCGAAAGACCGGCCTGACGCCGGCGGGGCGGGCGGCGGCGGGCGCGGGGTTGGAGCTGGCGCGCGCGGGGCCGGGGCATCCGCCAAGCATCGTTCACACATCGCTCGAGCGCCCTGACCCGCAGCCCGTGGAGCCTCCCACATGCCAGCGCCAAGGCCGGTGGACGGCCGCGGGGAGAGGTCGGAGAGCCCTGCGCCCAAAGGCCGGCCTGCTGGGTAGCGGGAAATTATCTCTTCTGACCCGCATCCCTGAAACGTGTCCATTGCCAGCCTGATGCTCTCGGGAGTCTTCTGTTGCTCCCGAGTGAGAAATACACACCTGCCTCTTTATTAGATGTGGTTCCTGCGAGTGTTTTTCACTTAGTTGAAAACTAAGACTAGACGAAACAGGCCAAAGCCCCCACGAACCCAGGCAGGCCAGTGTCACGGCCCTGTGATTCTGGCAGGGCTAAAGCTCTGCCCAGTGCCTGGCTCCTGTGCTCCTCCGAGCTCAGTGTTTGCTTCTTCCTGAAGAGCCTGCTTCCATGTCCATGATGCCCGAGTTTTATTTTGGAACATAATTTCTTTGGTTTCTGACCATTTTTTGGACTTGTGGTAAGGTCTTCTTTTTGCTCTAGAAGAAAGAATATTATGGTGATGACTTGGTTTTATCTTCTAAAGAGGTAGATACTCTGCCAGTGTCATCAGGAGACAAAGGAAATGTAGGACTGTATTAGAGTCAGAAAGAGAAATGAAACTCACCTTTGTCGTTGTGGGTGGTATGGAACTGTCAAATTAACTTTAAGAGACAAGAGGTATTTTGCCCAATGAAAACAGACCGTCAGGCCCCCTTCCTGCGAGGGTGGGAGGGTTAGAGACCATGGGCAAGGTGTGCAGGTCTAGGAAGAGTTCTAAGTGCTCCAGGACACGTTGCTCTTTCCCTTTGGTCCCTTGACTCCTCTGCACAGGCTCCGTGTATGTGGTCATACAAAAAGCCTGAATGAATCGACTAAGTCAAGCAACAATACTTTGTGTGCTTGTGTCAGGATCCTGTCATCTCTGAATGTTTAATTTTGAAAGAAACCAGCTCCTTGATCAGGAGATCCTTTTGGAGAAGATGCTGAACCAGAGGAGGCTGGCGGCCTGTTGCTATGGTCTTACTTGTGAGAACACAAAGACTCTTCCTTGTATTTATGTAATTCACCTGTAAATGTCAGCAGTTTTAACTGTTATGAGCAACAGACACACTTGGAGAGACTGGAGATCCTACACTGAAGTCAGAAACCGCTGCAGGCTTATGGGATGAGATCTGATGTCCTAACCTGGCATTCAAGGTGCTGCTGCTCAGCTGGCCCCAGCCCACCTCTCCAGGGTTTATCCTAATCCCAATTAACCAAATGATTTGCTAGACATTCCATACACGATACTTCCTTACACAGTTCTCTTGCCAGCCGAGTGCAATGGCTTTTGCTCCTCTTTGGGATACCAGCTCTTCTTCATCTCCACTTCTCTTTTCTCTAGAGTCCAGCTCAGGTCCTCTTTATGAAACACTCCCCAGATATTCCAGTCTCTGGGGGTACTCGTATAAGGGGTGTATTGTATAAGGGGTATTACCCTTATACAAAAAACAAAATAGTATTTGCTCTTTTAAGAATATTTTTTGTTGTTTCCTCTGCTAAGACCTAACCCCTGCATGTAGTAGATGAGAACTAGATGTTTACAAGAGTGTTAAATTTGTCTGGAGTTCAAAATACCCTCTGTATTTCAACAGAGAAATGGGCAGAATAAACACGTAGAAATGGGGATTTGGTGGCCATGGATCTCCACCTCCTACCTTGCCTGAAGTGCTTGCACCTGTAGGGTCTTATGGAGGCCCATCCTCAGTGCTATAGGACAGAGGCAGAACTTGCTTAAAGGGCAGAACTGAAGCCTGAAAACGGAAAGTAATTCTGCATCTCCAAAGGGGCTGTGTGGTCCATCCCTTTCCTGGCTAAGATCCAGTATTGATTCTTGGAAAACATGCATTGGGTGAACATAGCAGTGGGTGCCGAGATTCTTAGACCTTCTTGGTTGGGTCTTGGTCTCACCGCCACCTTGGGCTGCTGTAATTGTGTCAGTATTATTTGCTGCTTGCCCTCCCAGTGCTGCCCTGAGACTGTGGGGAGCAGTGATGGGAGAGCTGGGGAAAGGCTGCACAGTACTCTCTGGCTTGGGGCAAAGGAGCAGTAGGGGATTTTTTGTGTTTGTGCCACTGGATCTGTGCTTTTGCCCCAATTTTAAATTAGATTTTTATTTCTCCTCTATTACAGCAGGATTTGAGCAATGGATTCTGAGTGGGACAGCCTAAGATACCTTGGTTCTTTTATGAAAAGTGATAGATCAAGACTCTCATTTGCTACTATGTTTTAAAGTTGCATTTATGTAGGAGGCATTGCAAATGAATTTTGATGGGAAAACATGTTCAGTTGAGGGCTGGATCCCCGTTAGTGACTTTATTTTGTTTAGTGTTTAGAAAATTTGCTGCTATTCTCTTGTAAAAGTTTCATTTGTGGGTGAGAGTTTGGATCATTTACTCCTGTCCCTTCATTTTACGGAAGGTGGGCAGTCGAGGTGAGTAGGTCTAGGACTGGACTGTCTTCTTTTTCTTTTTTGTAAAAGATTTTATTTATTTGACAGAGGAGAGAGAGAGCACAAGCAGGGGGAGTGGCCGAGGGAAAGGGAGAAGCTCCCTGATGTGGGAGGGCTCCCTGATGTGGGACTCGATCCCAGGACTCTGGGATCATGACCTGAGCTGAAGGCAGATGCTTAACTGACTGGGCCACCCAGGCGCCCCCAACTATACTCTTTTCAAGTCTAAAATTTGATGTCTGTGAATAAGAGCAGCAGCCTGAAGTACATAAAAATCTGGGTATGTTAGGATTAAATGAACACTTATGAACGATTTATTCTGTAATTGAAAAGTCAGGTAATGACAAGTGTTGGTGAGGATGTGGAGAAATCAGAGCCTTCATACGCAGAGAATGGTATGAATGTAAAATGATGTAGTTAGAGAGGAGTCCGGCATTTTGTATATTTGTGCCAGTGGATCTGTGCTTTTGCCGGGATTTGGAAGAGTCTGGCAGTTCTTTAAATGGTTAGACATAGAGTTACCATATGACCCACGAATCCCACTCCTAGTTATCTACCCAAGAGAAATGAAAACATGTCCACATAAAAACCTGTATGTGAATGTTTGTATACAGTGTTATTTATAATAGCCAAGGGGGGAAACAACTCAACTGTCTTATTAGTTGATAATGGATGAATAAAGCATATGTGCATACGATGAAATATTATTTAGCGATAAAAAAGAATGAAGTACTGATACATACCACAACATGGATGAACCTGGAAAACATGTGAAGGAAGCCAGACACAAAAGATCACATATTATATGATTCCATTTGTATGAAATACCCAGAATAGGCAAATCTATAGAGATAGGAAGTAGATTAGTGGTTGCTTAGGGCTTGAAGGTGGATGAGTGCATAGGGGAATGATAGATAAGGTTATGGGGTTTCTTTTTGAGGTGATGAGTATGTTTAAAATTGTAGTGATAATTGCACATGTCTGAATATACTAAAAATCACTGAATTGTGCACATTAAATGGGTGAATTGTATGATTATAACTCAAAGCTGCTATTAAAAACAACTTATATAAGTAATTATATTAACTAGTTTAAAAAAAAGATAATATATGAGTAACAAGAAGAAATAAAAAAAGGATCATCCTTAACTTCCCTGTGTTTTAGTGTATAACCAGACTTTTTTCCCTGTCTTTAATTTTTACAAAAATGAGATAATGCTATATATCCTGACTTGTATCTTTTTACAGTCAGCAATATATTATATAAACATCCGTGTTGGTAAATGATGTGTTTACATCACGGGCTAGCTGGCGACAAATTTAGGGAAGCAGAGTGTAAGGGCATTGCATAGAGATAGGGACTAGGGTGATCTGGCAAGCACAGGCCTTATCTAAAGAGTCACTGTTGCTCAGTCCCAGCCAGTTGTGTTACCAGATCTTGTGATTTTTTTTTTTAAGATGTTATTTATTTGAGAGAGAGTGAGGGAGAGAGGGAGAGCACAAGTTGGAGGGGAGGGGCAGAGGGAGAGGAGAAGCAGACTCCCTGCTGTGTAGGAAGCCCAACTCGGGCTGGGGCTCCGGGCTCGGGATCCTGACCTGAACTGAAGGAAGCCGCTTAACTGACTGAGCCACCCAGGCACCCCTTGTGATTTTTTTTTTTTAAAGAATACAAGAAATCTGCATTTTTATGTGAAATTTCCTGATTTTTTATTTTTTATTTTTTATTTTTTTTAAAGATTTTATTTATTTATTCATGAGAGACAGAGAGAGAGAGAGAGAGAGTGAGAGAGAAGCAGAGGAAGAAGCAGGCTCCCAAAGAGCAGGGAGCCCGATGCGGGACTCGATCCCAGGACTCTGGGATCATGACCTGAGCCGAAGGCAGACGCTTAACCATCTGAGCCACCCAGGCGCCCTGAAATTTCCTGATTTTTTAATTTGGCAATGAATTAAGAAAATTTGAGCCACTTCGCTGGTGAAAGAAAACCCTTTGTGGACCAGAAATTGCAAAAAATTTGAATTGCCTGTTGTGTTCATTCCCAGCTTCAAGGTGGAACAAGGTGACACTCTGCCTTCTTGTTTCAGCTCTAATTCTGTAAACAAGTGTCCTTTTCATGGTCTGTTTAGTGCCATGGTTTTTCATATTTTTGTGTTTTTTTGTTGGGAATTTTGCTGTTTAAAATGTCTCTCAAGTGTAGTTCTGAAGTGCCATTAATCTTCCTAAGCATGAGAAGGTTGTGATGCCCCTTATAGAGAAAATACGTGTATTAGATAAGTTTTGTTCAGACATGAATTATAGTACTGTTGGCTGAGAGTGCAGTGTTAATGTGTCAACAATATCCAGTAGAGTTCCCCTTATCTACAGGGGATCCTTTCCAG